AAAAATAACTTTTAAAGTGCCAAATACAATTTGAAAATGTTTTATGATACTTTTCCATTTTTAGGATAGTATGTACAAAAATTATCCCTCAGAGATACTCGTTCCTCTTAATTTTAATATTTCCTATTAAAATATCTATTAGCAACCAAAGCTTCCCTGTGATAAATTTATTTTCTTTCAAAGATAGTCATTCCTAAACTTTATGATCCCCATAAAAGCTTCCCTTAAAAGAACTTTGTCCTGCAGGGTATGGTGGCACAAGCCTGTAATCCCGGCACTTGGGAGCCTGAGGCAGGAGGATCGCAGGAAGTTCGAGGCCCGCCTAGGCTATATAGTGAGTTCAAGTCCAGGCTGAACTACATAGTGGTGACTCTGTCTCCAAAAAACAAAAATCAAACCAACAAAAGGGCTGCGGAAGTGGCTGGGTGTAAAGGCTCTGAAACAAAACAAAAACCAAACACAAAAAGCTTTCTTCCAAACTTACTTTTTTTTTTAATAATACGATAGAAAATTGAAGCTCTTCCCAAATACATCTTTCTACCTTTTGCTAACTCATAACCTCCTTTTGTGTTACTCTCACACCTGTGGAAATTATACATGCTCATCATATTTCATATTCTGTTTTCGTCTACTTACTCTATTAAATTACTCTAATCCCCTCTTACAGAGATGACCTCATCCAAAGGAAGCCCTGACTTTGATTTCTCATGGATTCAAAAAACAATAGCAACAAAACACACACAAACTTCTTTTCATTTCAAATTAAACTACATGCATAATTTCAACCAATAAGATGAGTTCTTAATGGTATCATAGTACTTAAGACTGTATATTCCCTTCCTTCTAACTTATTTAAAGGAAACTGTCCACTTCTTTGTTTTCCCTTTCCCACTTAAATCCCCATTTTTCCTCTCTATTCATTCTCCTTATAGACATATATTCATATTTAGATTATAAGTTCCCAAATATGTAAAGGTGGATCAATTTCCTTGGGCTGGTAAGTTATCACATTTTAAAGAAAGTACAGATCATTATAAATGACTTCTTAAAATTGGGGAAGAAATGGTTTAAATTAGTAAAAATATTGAAATCATTCAATATAACTAATGACTTATTACAAGTTATAAGCATAAGTATTTGAAAAACATTATACAAGGCAGAAAAACCTAGATGAACTTTAGCTGTTAGCCATTTCTGAAATCACGATGAGGTCACCTCATCACTTGTCCTAAAGGGAAGGATTTTGTGATTTCTAACATTTTTCCTGTTTCTAAACGTCTGTGTTCTTTTAGATGTGTGACGCAACTAGAGTCCAAAATTCTGTATCCGTTATATGGTAAATGTTTACAAACACACACACACACACACACACACACACACACAACAATGGTAGTGCTGTTAAGAAAAAGATGGTTTTTATTTGCTTTTTTCTTTTTCTTTTTCTTTTTTTTTTTGAGACAGCGTCTCATTATGTATTCCAGGCTTGCCTTGAACTCACTTTCTAGCCCACGCTGGCTTTGAACTCTCACAATTCTCTAGCCTCAGCCTGTGTGCTGGGATTACAGGTGTGTGCCACCACACCCAGCCAAGAAAAAGTTTAAGAGAGGAAAAAGAATGCAAAAGTAGCTGTTAGGCACATTCATAGAGATACAGTGGAAGAATCACTGGCACACGCCTTCCTGAAAGCCAAGCATTATCTATGAAAACTCATAATGAGGAAACTTCCAATCTAATGTTTGCATTTCTAGGGATTAAGCTTGATGAATGACTTACAGATTTAGATAACAGGGAAATATACTGCAACACTGGGTGTGTAATATGGAGTTCATACTTATGTTCGAGCCCAAATTCTTGATTTTTACTCCCAATTCTATTCTACTTAGTCTTACACATTGTTTTTTAGGGTTTTTTGGTACCAGGGATCGAACTCGGGTCCTTGTGTTTTCGAGGCAGGCAGCGGAACCACTGAGCTAAATCCCTAGCCCTCTTACACATTGTAATACATGGTCCGTTTGGCCAATCCAAATACAAAAGTGTCAATATTAATTCCTTGATCACAGTAAATCCAACAATGAGTCATACCTCTTTCTCCTCTAAAATCTCTACCACTACCAACCAGGCCCAGCAACCATTGTCTTTTACCTGGGTTACAGTAAAAATCTCCTGAATTATTTCCTCCCATTTACTCTCATCTCCCAGTCATAGAAGCCCAAATAATCACTTTAAAGCACAAGTAAGATCATAAATTTCCTATGTAAAACTCTTCCACAAGTATATACTGCAATCCAAGCAAAATCTAAATGCCTAAGGCACCTAACTGCCTCTCCAAGTTCTTATCATGCCACAGTTTCCCTTGCTAGGGTCAGAGCCAAAAGGGACAGCGTTTAAAAGCCACCACACACTTCCCAGTTCCCAGGCCCTTAATCAAGTTCTTCTCCAGCCTGGAAAACATCTTTCAAGGCTGGTTCCTCATTACCCAATTATTACTAGAGCAGCCTTCCCTGCCCACCTCTTTACTTGCATGCACAGTATAATTTCATTCTGTTTGTGCCTTCCATTCACTAACCTCAATCTTCAGTTTTATTTATTAATTCAGCATCTCTTCCCATTAGTACAGAAAATCTAGATAGCACGGAACTGTTTGATTGCTCTCTCCTACAATACATATCTGTTGTATAAATTGCAGAATAATATAAGGGCAACCCGAGTTTTTCTATTTCAATCATCTATTAAATCTAATCTACTAAAATAATCAAAAAATATCAACTAGATCAACAAAAACTTAGTGAAAACTTGCACAGTAAATAGTAATGTGCTAAAACTTTCTGGCTTGATTTCAGTAACCTTTGCTTATCTCTGGTGCACACACCATGTTGACATTCACATAAACTTCATTGGTGGCCACTCTCTTTTGGGAAATAGACTGTTCAGATTGGCTTTCCCTGAAGGTGTACATGCCAGGAGATAACACTGAGATCACGGAAGACACATTAAGCTTTTGAATTGGAAGAGAAGTTTATGCTTTGAGACACTCAGAGACTTTTGAGCCTTGTTTGTTTTTACTTTAAGAAAGGGCATCCAAAGAACAGGAAGGATGTGGGCCCAGGGGGCAGCACAAAGATCACCACCTAAATGCTATAAACTCAAAGGCATTCTCACTACCATCCACTCAGTATTACACATTCTTGTGTGGCAGATTAGATTGATCCTGATTATTTACATTTCAAAGGTATTGTAATACACAGTGTGCCCTGTTCCTAAAACTAACTCCAGTAAAATTAAGTCAAATACACTTAATGCAATCTTTTTTTATTTTCAGTAATGTTTGCAGTGCACAATGATTACATTTTTTATGGGGCGTTGGTACATGCACATCATGCATCTTAATTCTTTTTATGTCCTTTTGCCTTCCCTCCTTCCACCTTTGGTCCCTTAGCCATCTGCAAAAGATCTAACTTCCTGTTTTCTATTATCTATCTTTGGGTTTCTCATCTAAGAAACACCATACCATATTTAAATTCGAATGTCGGATTCATTTCATTTAACCCTATGGTCTCAAGGTCCAGCTATTTTCCTACAAATTGTTGATTTATTCTTCTTTATAGCAGAGTAGTATTCCACTGTATATAAATACATTTTCTTTATCTATTCATGTTAATGGACATAGCCTGGTTCCAAGATTTTAGCTACAATGAATTGTGCTACTATAAACATGGTTACGCATGTATTACTGTAATATGTAATCCTGTCCAATCTTAGATCATGTACTAGAATTTACATAAGTACTACTTCCACTGGTAAGGTCTCCTTATTTTAGTTTTTTGAGGGGGTTTTTGGTAATGGAGCTTGAGCCCAGGACCTTTGTCCTCAGCTGCATTCCCAGTCCATTTTAATTTTGAGACAGGCTCTTGCTAAATTACTAAATTGCCCAGGCTGGGCTGGATCGTCCTACCTCAGCCTCCGAGAATGTTGGGATTACATTTGTTCACACCTGCACCAGCTCTCCTTATTTCTTTCATTTCAAACTCTACCACATTTTTAAAAGAATTGTCCATTTATCAATCTGGTTCCATATTGTATTTTTACTTCCAAAATCAACCATGCTGCATAACAGACACCTCTTGTTGAGAATATAATCCTACCTGTTGTCATTTTACAATTGAGAAATTGGCAAAGGGAGTGATTAACTTTTTAATATTAATTTTAATTTTAGCATATGAATATAAAAATCTTAACTTTTAAAAATGATAACTATAGTTCAGCAGTCTCACATTCTCTTTTCCTCTCACTGAGCCTGTTCTTCACTTACCTAACCCCTGAAGTTTTTCTAATTTGAAACCATTTGATTTCATTTCTAACTATTTCAATGTTTGCTAGTTCAAGTCCCAGAACGGACATAAAAATGTTAAGGTGCACCTTCATTAGCGCATTCCTCTGTCTCTACCATAATTGTTTTTCCATCCAAAACAATTCTTTAAGAGAAAAATTAAATAATTAAATTTCCTTTCTGAGTCTTTGAATAATGTATTTCATCTAACCAGAGCAATCCCAAAGCAACACGCTAAGCTAGGGCCGTAAGTACAGCTCATTTCCATGATTAGGAAAAATACTGCTCCTATTAATGTCACCTCTCTTTGTCTCAAATTCAGAAACAACATATTCAAAAGCTGTAAGGACTTCAAATAAAAGCACAAAAGGAAAAAATACCGATCTCAGAACACCAATGAGGTCACACAACACCTGCAAAAGAAAACATATTACTTCTTTTTAAGGAGGACTGTATGTGACATGGGCAATGAGAATCAGACGATTAAAAACTTGGAGAGCCACAGAAGTGACAAATAATGTACAGTCTAGCTCCAAAACTGACCTTAAACAATTCATGAGGCAGTGGGCAGTGGAAGAGACTGAAAGTTTTACCTTCTTTGCAGGAGAGTTAATGACCTGGTTTTATACTACTTCTTTCAATTAACACAAACAAAAACACAACAGAAACTTACCTTCAAAAATGGACCCCAGTTGATATTCTCCACTGAAAAATTGTGGCAAAGAAAATACAAGTGCTCCCAGTCCTATCATAAAGGATGCAAATGCAAGCCATCTTGGTTTGTGTCCTCCTTCACCAAAGAATGATACAAATAAAGACAGCAAACAGAATGAGATATCGTAGCTTGATGATATAAGGCCAGTCAGGGAACTCTTTATTTCATAGCGCTTCTCAATAGTGGAAATGCTAATATTCACCAGGCCATTTACTACAATACCTAAAAGAGAGAAAAGGAAATGTATGAATGTTATTATAACTTCATTATATAGATTATAATTAATACCATAATGTTCTAAAATTCAGTTGTTCTTTTTTTTTTTTTTGGTACCAGGGATCGAACTCGGGTCCTTGTGCTTGTGTGGCAGGCAGTGGAATGACTGAGCTAAATCCCCAGTTGTTCAATTCTTTTGCTGTTTTTAAATGTGCTAGTCTTAAAAGTCTCAAAGTTTCAAATTAAGAAAGCCCAGTTTGAAAATCAGTTTGCTTTTTAAATTGTTCACGTGGAAATGTTCAGATGATAAAGCTAATGCTTGCTACATAATTAATTGGTCTTAATTCATTTTTCTTTAAATGGCAAAAGCCAGACTGGTACAGTCCCACAGAACCAGCGTGCTAGAGTTTTCAAGGGTAGTATAATTCCACGGAACCCTCTGGGAAAGGTACAAAAAGTACAAGTGACCCCACAAGCCACCGCAATAATGTTCAATTGTTTTCTAACCCTTAAACATATTTATCAACAAGAAGCATTTATCTTGACTTAAGAGAGAGAAACTGAACTCTCAAACCTGTATTTTTTCTTAAAGCTTTTCTTGATAATGAGTTTATCATTTAAAAGATTCTGGCAAAAAAATAAACACAAGCTAAGATTCCTATTTTGACTAGTATTCTAAATCATGTGCAAAGTAAAACATTTATACCTCATACACTGATAATAAATGACTAAAATATAAACAAGAAAAGATTCAAAATTTAATTTTAACTGACTTGAAAATGTCCTACCCCCGATATAGTCTAAATTTATAGGCATTTAAACATTGTTATAAATTGAAAATAAAAAGAATCTGATTAAATTTTAACTAGTTATACTTTTTACTTAAGAGCTACTAAGAATTGTTTTCATCATCGATTATTAGAGTATGCATGACACAATCCTTTTAAATGTTGCTTTATCAAGACTCTTAACTAAAAAGGGAAAGGAGATGAAAAAAATGAATTGAGTTATATACATGTACCAGCTCCCCACAAGGAATGTAAACATTATGTACTACACACATATATTAATAAAAGAAGTATTTAAAAATATACATTTCAGGCTGAGGACTTAGCTCGGTGGTTCTACCACCTGCCTCAAAAGCACAAGGTCCCAAGTTCGATCCCTGGTACCAAAAAAAAAAAAAAATTTCAAGAAAATTGATACAGCAAATTTCAAAAGTCCTAGCACGGTATTTGCTTTTAATGCCAATGTAATAGAACTATAAAGCAATTAACAATTCTTGAGATTTCAAGGTAAGTATCCATAGTACCTATGAAATTTTCCTGAGGAAATACTTACCTGACTGACAATATGAAAACTTCACAATCCAAACGTCAACTTCTCCACACACCTGTCACACTAATTAATAACCAGTCACTAAAAATCATTTCCTTTATGGTAAAAATTCTCTGAAAAGTAAAGTTGAAACATCTCTGGAAGGACAGCACTTTAGTCCTGTGAATCTTAAGCTATACAAATTCCAAGAACACTACACACTACATGGGGGCTGGGGATTTAGCTCAGTGGTTCCGCCGCCTGCCTTGCAAGTACAAGAACCTGAGTTTGATCCCCAGTACCAAAAAAAAACAATTCCATGAAATACTACATGCTACTTCTATTGTAAATCCATGAAAATAGGAAGCACATTAGGAAATTAAGTGCTAGGGTAAACTGGGGGTTTTTTTTGTAGAAATACTAAGTAAAATTTGTCTAGTTTTGTTTTGCTCTCTCATTAAACACTTACTAATATACTATGGGACGAGGGAAATGTTTTCAGTTCCTGGAACTTAAATTGGAACATGAATTAATTCACTTTCATCAAATAGTGTGCCTTTTGAATCGTCTCTAGGTAGATGTAGCTCCAAGCTAAAACTGACTCTTTTTTTTAAGAGTGCCAATTATCTTTGATAAGAATTTTAAATACCTTATATAAAATATAAAGTGACATAGCCTTAATATTAAATTTTCGGAGTTTTGTTTTCATTTATCATACTGGAGATGACCCCAGCGCCTTCACACCGAGTTACGTGCCCAGCACTTTTAACTTTTTTATTGTGAGATGGGCTCTCCCTAAATTGCCAAGCTGCCCAGGCTGGACTCAAACTTGTGACCCTGTTACCTCAGCCTCTGGGTACTACAGGCATGCGCCCCCACGCCCAGCTTCTCCAAAACATTTTAAATGAAATATAAGACAAAAACATTTTTATTTCTGTTCAATTTTTTGAGCTGTGCAACCCCTTGACACATATTTCAAAACAAATCACTGCTTTTGGACAACTAGGATCAAGATATGAGGAAGGAAAACTTTAGTGGGGACAAGAAAAGTGGAAACGGAAATAACTCAGGTGAAAATTTTCAGAAGGAGAAAAGAAGTAGACTTGCTATTAATGAATAACACTTCACCCGGGCAAAGCAAGGGACACGGAGTCCCTTGGAGAGGGGAATGGAAATAAGAACAGGAACTATACACTTTGATTTAGTTTCACATTAACTTGGACAAGAGCAACTTCTAACACCCCCAACTCCCAAATACTTCTTGGGGTGCATTTCTTCCAATCAATCCTTGCCTACTTAACAAAATATTTTGAGACTATGACTTAAGGAACCAAAAAACACCTACGTACCAAATCCAAACTAAATTCGAGCATACTTTCAAGGCACCCCACCTCATCCCCACCTGTCCTGGGTTTGTCATCGGAGAGTAACTTCCCATTCTTTCCATCCCTCGCCCTGGAGGCCAGGCCAGCAGCCAGGACCTTCTCAGTGCTTGATTTGGAGGGGCCATTCCTTCTCCACCCATCCCTCACTTGGCCAAACTGGGCTCAGACGGCCTACTCCTAGGAGTTTAAACCTAGACTTCATCTGTGACTCCCAGGGGAGCCGAAAAGGATCCTAATAGCACGCAGCTACTGGATCCCTCTTGGGACTCAAATGCCTCCTAAAGGCTGAGTCCTCCAAGGCCGGAAGCCGGGCTGCACCTGGGAGAGCGCTTATCTAATCCGTACTACACACCCTACATACTTTTTATTCCCCTTTGCAAAGCAGATGCTTTACCCTTATCTGCAAACGTACTGCTCCTTCTGCTGCGAAAACAGTGTTTAAAAGTCCCTTTAACAAAGGACTCTGCAGAGAGGAGGCTGTTAGGAAGCAGAGAGCGAACTGCGGAGAGCCACATGCTCTGGAAGGAAGGCTCTGGAGTATTCTCGGGATCCGATCCACTGGCTGCGGAGCGGCGGATGGCAGAGCAGGGATCGAGGCGGCGCGACGGGAGGCGCTGGCCAAGGCAGCGAGCTCGCGGGTGCGGGGAGCGTTTCCGCGGGCTCCCGGGCGCACCTGCCGCGCGGGCCTTACCTTGTGTGACGGCCAGGAGGCAGTAGTGCAGCAGGAAGCCCGCGGGCGTGTTGCAGCGCTGCAGGCAGCGCGGGTGGAAGCTCCGCCACCCGAAAAGCCCCTCCTCGCACTCCGACCTCGACTGGGACCCGGGCTGCGCGAGGGGAACTGGGGAAGGGGCCGAAGGCAGCGGCGGCTCGGGGGCCTTCTGGAGCTCCTGAGGTTCCCGGGGCTGCGAGTCCTCTGTCCGTTCCGGGGAGACCTCGACCTGGGAGGGCGACGCGGACGAGCGGCGCGGGGCGTCCGGGCTGCAGGGGACGAATGCCGGGTTCTCGATGCCTTTGGCGCCCTTCATGCTCAGGACCCGAGCTCCCGAAGCCAGCGCCTCGAGCAGCGCTCGGCGAGCTTGCTGGCCGGCTGCTCCCCGGACAGGTGGCAGCACCCCTGTGCGGGAAACCGGCCCGCCTCCAGGCCCTCCCACCTCCAGGCGTCGCCCGCGGTGTCCCGCCCTTCCCCCCGGAGCTGCGTGGAGCGCGCCGGGGCGCCCTACCTGTGGCTGGGTCTGACGGGCTCCAGGCGTAGTGTGCAGCGCGGGCGTGCGACCCGGCCGCCGCCAGGTGAGGGGGCGAGAGCTGCGCCACCACGGATGCCAGCCCGCCACGCCCTTTCCCCGAGCCGGAGACTGGGAGCAAACAGACTGCGCGAGTCTGTGGACGGAAGTTCCCCCGGGTTCTGATAGGAAAGCTGTAAACACCGTTGCATCAGGAGACCTTTCAAGAAAATACGCTGCGGTTTTCTTCCTACCGAACCAAGACTCCTGGACTCCAAGAATCAAGCAGCCATGGCTCTAGTACTTTAGTTTTCGTGAACATCGTGGTAAGATTTTACCTGTCATCCTCCTTAGAACTGGAGATCCACTGGTCACCACAGCATTAACAGCAAGACACGACCATCGCTTTTGGTTTTCCTTCCCCAAAACTGAAGGAACAGAAATGAGGAAAATTTAAGAACATGACGTTCTTTGAACGCATATTGCACATCTAAGGTCAACGACGACGATAGTCATGAAAATAATTCCTACTTGTGGGATAAATAAACAAAATGCTTTGAAGACCTTAAGTCTGTTGTGTGATACTACTTAGGATTCATTCATTCACGTATCATGGAGAAATTTATTTTCTGGGTGCTAAACACCATTACAGTCTCTCCGGGTGTATGGACCAATGAAAACTGGCAAGCACTGCTGCCCTTGTAGCGGTCATATTTCAATGAGACAGACGGTAAATAACAACACACAGTGCCTGTACATAATACGATAAATAAATATTATTTTGTGAAACTCCTATTATTTTGTGAAACTCCTATTTCCTATTTACCCAAGAACTGGGGAGTAGAAACAAGAACTAACATTTCAAATGTTAGCTCCATATCCCATTATTAATCCTTACGTGAACATGGTTAGTATTATCTACATTTCAAACATTGAGGAAACCATATCCTAGAAAAGACCAGGAGCTCTTCCAAAGTCAGTGGCTAATAAGTGCCCTGCCACTTGTTAAGGATTTCAATTCAATTCTCCCAGCTTGGACTTTGCATTTTCTGTCTTTTAATTAATACAGTCAAGCTCTTTGGGGTAGAATTATTGCAGTCATTCTGAGAGACCAAAACTCACATTTCTCTGAATTTACATATTTTAAAACATACCTGCTGTTCTTGATACCTCAGATTTTGAAGGTACACAAACCAAGCATAGTGTGTAATCCCTCCAGGCTTTCTTTAGACAGAAATGGACTCAAAGTAAAAAGGTATAAATAGGTATCATCATTGGATCTATGCAACATGAAGTAATTTACCTAGCCAGCCGAGTTTGCTGTGATAAGATATGGTAACATACACTAATGGCTTAAGACTTGTTTTCAGCTCTGAATCAACACATTCAAAATATACTGCCAAAGCCAGAGTAGCGTATGCACTTAAATCCACACCAAGGAGAAATCTTGATTCCTGCAGTGTTAGAGGGTAGAATTTTGTTGAAAGATGAGCAAATGTGCTCTTGCTTCACTTTCAATACCGCTTGCTCTTACTGAACATGTTACCAACAGCACTTTCCTGTTACCTTACATTTTTATGCCGCAATGATGATGGAAGGAAGGAGACTCAAGTTTGCAACACAGAAGAAAAAAAGAATGATTGATTTAGTCTCCGATGATTCTATGGTAAATCATCATATTTTAAACTAATTATGCAATTCGTCTATGGCAAATCTGTCTGTAATGCACATTGTCAAAATGCACCATGTTAAATTTCAGAAGATAACCGATAAATTGTTATTCTTTTCGTGGATTTCATTTGGTATATTTTTAAGGGTAAAGAATGGAAGAGAAAACAACATCCAAATTTCATACTAAAGCTCCAACACTACACAGGAACAGATGTCCCTGCCTGTGGATATCATTCTCTGTAACAGATCTTCCCTGCCAGGAACTGGAGAAACCAAGACAAAAGAGTTCAGTGACAGAAACTGTCAAGATTATCCCACTAATCCCCTTGTCCTGACTCCACGCTAAGTGCAGTCTTATGATTCCATGTTGGCCTTCCTTGTAGGTAAGTCTACTGGTTGAGAACCTACTGATATGTTTATCTTGAGCACTTTATCGTATTCTCTTCTGTTTACTTTATTCTCTTCCAGCGGCAGACTGTATGTGAATCCTTTAGCACTGTAACAGTGTAGGACTCATAGAATATTAAAATTAGAAGGATCCTGGCATTACCTGAGTACCAGTACAGCCAAATGCAAATATTGTTGAGGTTAATTAAAAATCCTAGCATTAAAGATTTAATAATGCCATAGATGTTAACTAAATAAAAACAATGAAATAATCTAAGTAATCTTCTTTGTAGTTTTATTTTTTCCATTTAAATGTGTCCTAGAATGTATGATTTAAAATAATATACCTAAGAAAAAATTCAGTGCTGAACTAGATTATTTTAATACTGTTTTGAACTGCAATGGCACATATTTATATTGAGATGAAATGGAGCTAAACCTTTTTAGTCATACTAATCATAAATCATTAGATACATACATAAGTATGGTTAATCACAATTTTTGAGAAAACATATAAACACTTAATACAATAATTCCACAAGAAACCAGCCTTAGAGATAGTGAAAAATATCTAATTACTATAAAAATTACTATGTCTAGTCAATTTAAACTTTTTAAATTAAGCTCAATGCTTTCTACTAAGTATCAAAAAGTATACTTACGCTAGAAATAGCAAAACATAGCAGTGAAGAATCACTACTGGATTTATATATCAAGAGATGTTTAAACTAGAAGAAAGTATCCTATGGTAAACTAGTGGTAAGAACATTACTTCTAAAACAAATTTATTTTCTTTTCTAGTCAAAATCTGAGTTCTGATGCCTAGAAAAGTCTTCAGTAGGCTAATCTTGTCAGCTCGACTGGATGGTGAGAGGCCTAGAAGGCTGGTAGAGCACACTTCTGGATGTGTCTGTGGAGGTGTTTTGGAGACAGGTGGCTGTAGTCCAGGAACTGGGAAGGGAAGCCCCCGCCTGGGTGTGGAAGGAGGGGAATGGTAGGAAGGAGGAAGTCAGCCCACCCTGGCAAGCTTGATTCTGCTTGAGCAGCTAATCTTTTGCTGCTGTCGCCACCTGTGGATGTCAGCCTCCAGAGCACGGGCGAGCAGCTTCCCTGGGGCTGTACCCTTGGTCTTCCACCTTCTTGGACCAAGCAGCTACTGACTGCATCCTTTGCATCCTTTGCATCCAGGGTGCAGATGGCTCTTATACGGTATCCTGACCCAACATACCACCCTAATAAGTCAGTCCCCTTATATGATTTTATATGCACATGTATATATTCTAACAACTCAGTTCCTCGTTTCAATTTCTTTATTAGTGCATGTTTGCAGTACATAATGATTGCATTCCTCGTGGGGAGTTGACCCATGTATATAACACACCCCAATTCTTCATTCATTGCTTTTCTTTCCCCTCTAGACCCACTCCTTCCATCTCTTCATTTCCTTTCCTTTGCAAAATATTTCTGTCCCTGCTGGGCTGGGGATTTAGCTCAGTGGTTCGGCCACCTGCTGCATAAGCCCAAGGACCCGAGTTCGATCCCCGGTACCAAAATGAAATACATATATATACACATATATGTACATATATATACGTATATTTATGTGTATATATATGTATATATGTATGTGTGTATATATATATGTGTGTATATATATATTTCTCTCCCTGCTTCCTGTTATATGTCTTTTATTTTGCACTTAATTGGGTTTCTTGTAGAAGAGAAACCATGCCATATTTAATCTTGTGTCTCTGATTTATTTCATTTGACATTATGGCCTCAAGGTGCATCCATTTTTCTACAAATGATTCAAGTTTTTCCTTCTTGATAACAGAGTAACACTCCATTGTGTATAAATACCATGCTTTCTTTCTATGATTATAGCAGCACAATTCATAACAGCTAAATCTTGGAAGTGGCCTATATGTCTATCAATTCCTTTTGAGAAGCCTAACAATACATAATAATAATATAAATATGCTATTATTCTATAGGAGATATGTAATCATAACATTATAATCATGGAAAGACACCATTGTATTTTTTTAGGCCTTGAACACAGGGCCTCATGCATATTAGGTAAATGATCTACAAGTATGACCAATCCCTCTTCCTTTTACAATTGCATTTGGGGCAGAAGCTAGCCGAGTTGCCCAGGCTGGCCGGGAACTTGTGTTCCCCCTCCCTCACCTCCTGAAAGGCTATAATTACAGGCATGTACCACCTTGCCTGGCATGAAATGCCATCTTTACTGAGTAGAGAAACAACCATATAACAGCTCTTGACGGTTCTGTCACATCCACAATTTAACCCTTACCTGTTTCTTAGGGAAGTAGGAGGAGGATGGGGGTTATGAGGGTTATTAAAATTTATAATTGTAGAAAGGAACATCGAGCTATCATTTGTTCCAGCAGGGTACCTCCAGGAATTTTAATAACAAATCCACCAGAAGGCTCAATTCACTCAGAAACAGTACAAAAAAGGTCCAATTACAGACAAGGTAAGAGAGGTGAGCAAGGGATTTTCATACATTCTTTCATCGTAATCTTTTCTCACTTTACTGGCAGTTGGAAGAAGTCTAGCGTAGAGTTGAAGAAGCTAGCAGGCTGCTACTAATTAGCTAACAAAATACTTACAAATGCAAGTAAGAGCTTTGGTGCACAAAGTTCAAGGCATAGGTTAAAATAAAATTTTTAAAACCCTGCATTTCTACTTAGAATTACTTGTGGAAGTTCTCAGAGCAAGATGCCAAGGGACAAAGATAAAGATATCACATCTCACAAAGGCCAAGGCCCAGTGAAAACAAAATTACTTCACTGAGCAT